CCTTTTCTGTAGGCAGCTGCCTCTTCTGCTAGGGGTAGGATTGGAGGAGTGTGTGTGTGTGTGTGTGTGTGTGTGGTAAAGAGTGTTGTGCTGACTGGCATCCTACTGCCCCCTGTTTGTGCTTCCTGTGGGAGAGCAATAAGGGCCCTCAGCTGAGGTCCTGGAGTCCCCTCTCTGCCACCCACCCACCATGTGGTCATGCGCATTCATAGCCTCTCTGAAGCTCAATTTCCTTATGTGTAAGATGGGCATCAAGAGGACTCTTGCGACCCCTGAGTGGTTCAGCAAGGGACCCCAAGTAGTTTAAAAGTGAACTTGCATTTCTGGGCACCTGGGTGGCTCAGCAGTTGAGCATCTGCCTTTGGTTCAGGTCATGATCCTGGGGTCCTGGGATCGAGTCCCACATTGGGCTTCCCCCGGGGGAGCCTGCTTCTCCCTCTGCCTGTGTCTCTGACTCTCTCTGTGTGTTTCTCATGAATAAATACATAAAATCTTTTTTAAATAGAGGACTCTAACAGGGCTGTTGTGAGGATGTGATATGATGAGATGGCATATATAAAAGTGCCCAGGTTCTAGATGGTGTTAACCCAGTGGCACCTATTCCCCTTCCTACGTGCTGAGCTGACCAGGCATGATTCTGAGCTGCACCTATAGGTGCCAGTTTTAGTGTTTCACCCCCGTGCTCATCCACACACAATCACTTTGTGGCTGAAGAAACTGAGACCCACATAGGTTTTGTCACTAGATCAAGATCAAGATCAACCTATATGGTTGACAGCAAAGTTAAATTCTGGACACTCCTTCTTCCCAATCTCAAGCCTGCGCTGGCTCTACTACATCCAGTACTTTTTCCAGATCTCTCCCTGGAAGTTAGTGAAAACCTTCCAAAATAAGTAGCGAAGGGATGCCTGGGTGGCTCAGTGGTTGAGTGTCTACCTTTGGCTCAGGGTGTGTTCCCGGGGTCCTGGGATCGAGTCTCACATCGGGCTCCCTACATGGAGCCTGTTTCTCTCTCTGCCTATGTCTCTGCCTTTCTGTGTGTCTCTCATGAATAAATAAATAAAATATGAAAAGAAAAAAAGTAGTGGATAAAAGCCAATGCCAGATTCACCCAAGTCAGAGTTGGTTTGTTGTCTCACCCAGAAGGAAAGAGTACTTAAGCCAAGTCCTCTGAGGTGGAATGAGGCCCAGAGTGCAGGGAGAGAGAGAGACAGAGCGAGAGGGAGAGATGCAGGGAGGGACTGGCGTTGGTGGTCGTGTGGAGGCTGTGTGGAGGCCGTGTGGAGGCCATGTGGAGGCCGTGTGGAGTGGAAGAGTAAGGGCTGTGAATCAGGGCAGCCTGGGGTCAAGCACTACACTGGCTACTCACAGACTCTCCATTTAGTGGAAAGGTCACCATAATCAGTCCCTACCCCCACCCATCTCAGTCTCTGTCCCTCTGCCTCTCTGTCTGGGCTGTTGTGAGGATTATATGATAAAGGGGATAGTTTGCACAACATACCCAGTGTAGAGCCTGGATGGAATAGGCCCCCATAAGTGCCACGTCCCCCCCCACTCCCAGTGGCCTTGTCCCACTGCTAGAAGATTAATGAGATAAGGCGCTTGCTAAGCAGAACTCCCTCAGGTTGGATATGTTCCTTCTCTTCTCTTTTAAAAAACAGGCCCCCAGACTGGTGAGGGCTCTTCCTGGGAGCATGAAAATGGAAGTGGGCCATAGCTGCCTGTGTCACTTTCCTGGTGCTCTTCCGCTGCTGCGTACTCTCCCAGTGGGCACCGGGTTCTGGCGAGTGGGTGCAGAAAACAGACCCTTTGATGGTTTTGTTGAAATATCTTAGGAGCCAAAGGAATGAGGGCTAAGTTAGTCACCCGTTGTGAGGCTACAGTCAGGAAGCCCTGTTTATCTTGCCCAGCCAGATCCCGCACTAAAATATATCGTACAATTAGATGTTCTCGAAAATTATGAATTACGGGTTCTCTGTAGCCAGGGCTGGGCAAGTCTCTTTTAAGAATCTGTAAGTATTCATCAAATGCCAGTGAAATAGTCGGGGGAGGGGGCAAGTCAGAAATGATCATGACCATGATGGGCGGAAAAAGGAGTAGTTATGGTGACCTAGATTAAAGGCCTGTGCCTAGTACTATCAACAGAACTTATTCTGTGATGGTGGAAGTGATCCATTTCTGTGCTCTCCAGTATGGCAGCCACGCATCTGAGCACTTGAAAGGTGGCTAGTGTGATTGGGAAATTGAACGTTTGATTGCATTTAATTCTAAGTAATTTAACTAGCCCCAGCTACCATACCAGGTGACGCAGGGTTATACAGACTGCAGCATCCCATAAGCAGCTGCTCCCGAACGGGTGGCGTCTCACCTGGGGACAATTTCCAGTCATAACCTGGACAGCTTAATGTGACTCTAGGGATGCTACTTCTCACTAGCGAAAAGATTAGGATTTTGCTCATTGGAAGGACTGAAACAGAATGGTGGGAGAATTTGGAAGGCCCAGAGAAGGGGAGGGTGCAGTGCAAGTCACAGCTCAGCATAGGAGCCTCTGTTAGGGGCTGAGATGGGTTCTGACCAGTTTCAGGCAGCTCTGCCTCATAGCCTCTGTGTCGTTGGCCTTGGGGCGGGGAGGGGGTCTCAGCTCATCAGAAGCATCTGGAGCAAGATGAGTAGTTGGCAATAAAGGCCCCTGAGTGGTTGTCTCTAAGGGACTCACCCTGTCTTCCTGGGATGGTGCTGAGCATGTACGTGTAGGAGGGGGCTGGTCCCCAGTGAGCCCCATGAGGTAGGCACTCTGACTACTCTCTCTCAATTTATGCTTGAAGAATAAATAGAATGGATGAACACACTGGTTTTGGGTAGCTGCTAGGGTGGGATGGTGCTGCCCTAATTCAATTCTCTGGCCCTCCTTCATTGAAAAGGGATCCTTGTGAGCTCACACTAGTAGTGTGTGCTGGTCAAGCAGCTAGGTCCTTAGGAAAAGGGAAGAACTCAGCTTGGCTGTGCCTACTGGTCTCTGTTTCCCCTCTTCCTCCTCTGCAGGCATGCCTCCCTCCCTCCCCATCTCCAAGCCCCCAGTAGATGTCCTCCAGCTGGACCAGCTCCTCTTTTAGGCACCCCCCACCCCAAAGCCCTGGAAGGTGACGAGTAGCCTCCTCTCTTCCTGGCTGAGCTCAAGGAGAAAGCAAAACCTTCCCCTTCTTCTCCCCTCCCTCCTTCACCCCCACAAACAGACAAGGGGCAGGTTCCTGGGGTTAAAAAAAAATCCCTCAACTAATTGACTGGAGGTCTGGGTCTACATGCTGACTCTGCCAAGAATTCACATTGTGTCCCTGGGCAAAAGACTTCCCCCCTCTGGGCCTGGGGTCTGCGTCTGCAAAACGGCAGGGGAGAAAAGCCTCTGGAAACGCTCACGGTCCACGATTGAAAGTGGATCCAGGGAAATGTGATTATCGAAGGGGCTTAATCCCTCGGGGCAGCTCTGGCATTTCAAAGAGGAGCTGGTGAACCCAGACGAGTGTCTAATTGGCAGCCTGCCTGGGGGAGCTCTCTGCAGCACGAGGCCTTCCAAGTTCCTTGGCCTGGTTGGGCTGGTAGCTCGGCCTCCACCGGGGAAGGGTAGCCGCCCCCCCAGGGGCCCCGCTGACCCCTCAGGCAGGAAGGGCCCGCCCTCACCGGGTGCTCCTGCCTGCCCCAAACTTCGGTCACCCCCGGGCCTCACGGAAGGGAAAGCTGGCTGGAGAGCAGAAGTTTAGATAAGCAGGAATCCTGTGCGTAAAAAGTAAGTCGCCTGGGAGCTTGAACCTGTGAGTGTGCTAATAAGAGGAGCACAGCCCCGGAGTCGGATGCACCTGGTGCTTGGCCCCCCTCCAGGCTGCCTGGCTGCGGGCGGTGGTCCCCCCAAGATGCGCCCCCCGCAAGATGAGATCATAACCAGCCCTGCCAACCTCGCTGGCTGCTGCAGGAACTGCAAAGAGGTGACGGCCGCGTCTGCTGTTTCGTGCAAATGCAAAGCGGGGGTGACAGTGTGTTCACCTTCTGCACCTGCAAATATTGGTAAAGCCCCAACGGCAGGCAGGCACCGATGAGCATGAGCAGTGAAACAGCGGGGGCGCTAAGTCACCCACGATCTGTTTAAAGGGTCAGACAGCAATGTTACTGGCGACAGGTGCCAGCTTGTTCACTCCTGGATGACTCCGGCTTCAGTGGAGCATTTCCCTGCTGGCTTCAGCCCCCGAAGAAGCACACCTCTGACCTCCAGCTCCACCCAGGGAGGGACTGGGGCTCAGCCTCTGCCTTGAGGTTAAGGATCTGATGAGGAAAATTGGAAGCCCAGCTTCATCTTTGGGGGGGAGGGATGCTCAGTAAGCCAGAGATACCCCGGAAGATCAGTGGATCCAAACTTCGGAGGAAATGAGGGGCCACAGCCATAGCCCGGAGTCTCGTTGGGTCCCGGATGCTGTGAGCAGAGCTGGAAAGCACTGGGCTCCAGCTGGGTTTCGCAGATGCATCCAGGTCCCTGCCCCAGGAGACCTGGGTGGTGGAGGGATCTGCCCAGGGGCCTCCAGGTCTACCATTCTGGGGGACCCTGGAAGTGCATGAAGAGAGGCCGACACAAGGATTATTCCAGAAAGGATCAAGGTTTTTCCTCCTGCTGCTCTGCAGCCCGGGGGACATGCTCTTGGGAACGGAGAGAGAGGCTGTGTTGACATCGCCATCTGGGCTCTGTGGTTTCAGAAACACTGAGAGGCAGGGCCACTGGGTGACGGGCAGGAAGGGGGGCACGCGATGGGATGAGCACCGGCTGTTGCAGGCAACCGATGAATTATTGAAAACTACATCTGAAACTAATGATGTACTACATGTCGGCTAATTGCATTTAAATTAAAAAAAAAAAAAAGAAAGAAAGAAGAGGAAGGAAGAAAGACGGAGGGAGCAGAGTGTGAAGCGGGTCCAGGACAAGGCTTGAGGGAGCTGCGCCCTGGACCACCCGCGCTCACCTTTGAAGGGGGACTGGGCACGCGTGGCGAGGAAGAGCCTCTTGCTTTTCCTGCTCTGCGGCCCGCGGCGGGCGTGGTAGCCCAGCGTGTTGCAGCGGCGGCCTCTCTTGCAGCTCAGGCACAGGCCCTGGCTGAAGCTGTCCATGTCGCCGCACTGGTAGGCCGTGCTCTGCAGGCTGGGATGCAGCAAGGAGTCGATGAAGAGGTGCACCGACCGCTCGTGGGAGCATTTTATGGTCTGAGTGATGGCTGCAACACAGGGCAGGGAGGCCGTCGTCACCCCTCCAGCCCAAAGGGCCCTCCGCTCAAAGCATCACCCTGCTTTCAGCGCCCATCAGTGGCCCGTTGGGGAGGAGGGCTGGGGTTGCTGGGGTTGTGACAGTGGGAAGCAATCATGGCCTGGAAACTCCAGGAGTAGAGCCCTCTCGGCCACGTGGTGGAGAGATGTCAGCCCAGGCACCGCTGGGCTCCCGAAGGCACCCTGGTGTTTTAGCTGGAAGCCTAGGTCACTAAGAAAACACTGAATTTTTTAAGAAAACAGAGTGGGGTGATTCATTTAAAAAAATTTCATGTCTTAAATGGCTAAAGATGTGCAAGTGCTGATGCCTTGGGTTGAGTTAGCTGGAATAGGCTTGCGTGAAGTGCCTCTTTTCCTCACCAAGCTAGGTGAATGAGTGCCAAGGTACTCCTGTGTGGCAAGTGTTCTGGTGAAAGCGGAGTCCTCTCCTGCAAGGTCTGCCCTCTGCCTAAAGCAGCCATTGCCTCTGTTGGGTAGCTGGCCTGTAAAACCAGCAAGGGGATTGGCTTCTAGAAGGATCATCCTAGTGACCAGGTCTGCATGGGTCTATCTTGAAACAGCAAGGTTAGGAAGTTTATCTACCGTGGATTTTTGACTTTTTTTTTTTTTTTACACTCTCCAAATCTTAACCTAGTCTTTAATAGATGATTCTCAAGGATGCTGAAGAATCACCACAAGGCGTGCAAAATACCTAATGTGAAGGTACAGCACAGGTAACTTTGCCAAAAGCTATTTTCCCCCAGTGTTTGAAGGCTAAATGCCAAGACTGGACACTTCACTCTTGGTTTCCGGCTGCATCTGTTGAGCACCTACTATGAGGCAGGTACTATGCTGAGTGCTTTCACTCATCCACTCCCTACATCTTGCCACAGCTCCTTGAGGCAGCTGTTCTAGATGAGAAAAGTGAGCTTCAAAGACATTCACTCATTCCAGCTCACCTGGCCCATAGGGGGTGGATGGAAAAGCGTGTTACCAAATTACCTTTTGTTCAGGTGCATGGTGAGAACCACCCCAGGAGGGGATCGCTTTTAAACTTAAAGGCGAAGAAAACTGAGAAAAACCACAGCAAAACTGGGCAAGCGAAATAAATGTACATGCTTTCACCACTTCGAAGGTTTGCACAGAAGAGTGAATGGCACTAGCAGAGATGTATTCACCAGGCAGCTACTTACTAGATACCAGGCCTGTGTTGAGTTTTGGGAGGCAGTAGATCTGGGAGGTGGTCTGGGTGGTCAGCCCGGAATGGAACAGGCCCTGTGGATGGCTGGAGGGGTGATGACATGAGGGGCATGTGAGGAATGATGAGGGGAAGTTCCCAGAAGGTTCTCTCAGTTGTGGGCAGGTGGCAGGCTGGGAGTCCAGCCAAGATGAGATAATGTTGAATGTGAAGGTCATTCTGATACTGGAGAGGTGAAGGTGGTGATGTCATCACCGGAAAGCGTGTGCTTAGTTTGGTTTTGCATGATGGAGGTGAGAAGGAGGTACGTGGCAGGGTGGAGGTGGGGGCCTCCAGTTGGCTTGGCGTGAGTTGGCATGTTTTCATCAAGATGATATTTTATAATAATGAGAAATTTGGAACACCTAGGGAATGTATGATTTTTGCTGACAGTCTTGTTCTTAAATCCTGTGCACGCTGTCAATGTGCATGTTAATGTTTCAGTCTAGGATTTGAGAGAGAAGTGGGGTCACAACCCAGATAAGGCCACAATCCAGCTCCTCCTGCCCTGAGATGAAGGAAGTGACCAAGACATGTTTAGAACTGAATTTTGAATTGGAAGGATCCCAGTAAGTTCCCATAGGACCAGCTGATTAAAGGATCAAGAAGCTATAGTTCAAGGATCTATTAAGTACATCCTCATGTGGCTGGGAATAGAAAGAGCCCCCCGGGTGAGGAAGCTTCTAGAGAAGGAGGAATAACCACAGGCAACAGGACTCCATTTTCAGAAGGGCTGGTGCCCCGGAAGAGACTTTGTTGGGTACACCGGGAGAACTAAGAAGTAGGGATTCCCGGTGGCGCCCCCAGCTCATTGTCAGAGCCTGGGCTCCAGTGACCCTTGCCAGTTAAGAGGAGGGCGTGCTGGAGGGACACTCCCACAAGCCCTCCCACTGAGTGGGCTTGGGGACCACATCCACCCTGGGCCCCCACCCTTGCTGAACCCTTCCTGGGGTCCCGCAGAACTGGAGCTTCCCTGGATGGGGTGTGAGGGGCGTAAGCCAGTGCAGGCTAGTGGTCTGGGCCGGGCCTTCTTTCTCACCAGTTAAGCCATGCTTGGTAATATGTTTGTAGAGCTCTAGGAAGTGGCAGCCAGGCTGGAAGGAGCCCCCATTGGGGTAGAAGTCGTAGTGTGCTATGGGCTGTTTGATGCCCACACTCAGGCCCATGTGCTCCCGGGTGAAGGTGTGAATGGCGTCCACAAAATCGGCATCATCTGGTGAAAGACGGTCGTTGGGCGAAGATCCCTCAAACAAAGGGCCTGCGGCGTCCAGCCCTAATAGGAAAGCAGGGCTAAGGGTTAGGTGGGAAGAATGGAGAAGCCTCCTTTTAGCTTTTCGATGTTATTACACATTCATGAGCTGGCAGGAAGAAGAAAATCCTAGGGGATAATCTTTCCCTCGAAAATCTTGCTATAAGCTTTTCGCAGTAAAACCACAGTAATTCATGATGCCGAAAATTAGACGCGGGCTGTGCATTATCTATGGGGAAAGAGGTCTGCAGGAACGATCCAGCGGTAGGAATAAGGTTATGAGGGAATGCTTGATTTATTTAAGTAAATCAATTTTAAGTACCTCTCAAGCTACTTTCAAGAGCATCTGTTTGCATACAAAAACCACTGTGCTTATTGTAAGTAGTTCTAACCCACCCATCAGAGAAGGAATTTATTTGCCTGTGTGTTGTCAATAATTTCCCTCAACAAGCTGGCTTTTCTCCTACAGCAATGTCATTTCATTGGAATGTCCAGAACAGCCTTGGGACATCACTGTTCCCGGGTGAAAATGTTGTGAGCAAACAGGACGGCTTAGAGCCCTGGTCAAGTGACAGATGTGTGTGCTGAGACTACTGGCAGCTCCCAGCTGGCTGTAGTCGGGGAGTATTTATTTATACGCTCAAGGTTTTTCCTCTGTCTTTCTTCCGTCACCTTCTCTGGAAGACCCTTTGACATCTCCTATCAGCCCTGGCTTCCATCCCTGTTGGGGGTGAAGGAATTGACAAGGGGCACTGACAGCGCCCGTCTCTAGCTCTCACCCATAGTTACAAATGAAAGATGTCTCGGTGTGATTTATATTCCATTCTTCATGGGGCTGAGTATGAGATGACAGGAGTAATGAGCTGTCCTGCTGCCTCTGTCATGAGTGGGCCCGGCTAATAATGCCTGATGTGACCCATGACCCCAGCCAGAGTGGAGAGGGTGCTGGGCCTGGTACAACTTTTCTGCGATTCTGACTCAGCCTTCTAGGCCTGGTTGCTTGGTGATGGGCCTCACTGGCTTTCTTTGGAAGGTCTGCTCACTCTCAGCCTGTTGAGGGTTATATCACAGAGTGGGGTGCGCAAATAGTGGCCTGTGAACCAGGTCTCCCCAGTTACCAGCAAGATCCAAAAGGTAAGGATGAGGAAGTGAGTTCTCGTAATGACAAATTTATTTCATTTAAATGTCTGCCATTATTCCTATCTTTCTTTATATTAAAACCAACCTCTTCTTTGGCAAAGTAATGGTAATAGTAGATATTAGCTGCCAAAAATTGTCTTACTTGATAAAACGGGGTCATGGGGCGCCTGAGTGGCTCAGTTGGTTGAGCATCCAACTCTTCGTTTCGGCTCAGATCATGATTTCATGGGTTGTGGGATCAAGCCCCAGGTTGGGCTCTATGTTCAGTGTGGAGTATGCTTGAGATTCTCTCTCTCCCTCTGCCCCTCTCCCCACTCTCTCTCTCTCTAAAATAATTTTTTAAAGATTTATTTATTTAAGTCACAACAATGCTATTCATCTTAAATTTCCTTTGAACTGTTTTAACCTGTAGAGTATTAGTTTAGCCTGCTGGGTCTTAACGGATGAGTAGGAGTTTGGTAGGTAGACTGGGGCTGGGTGGATAAGTTGTGGTAAGATATTCCAGGCAAGGGGCAGCTGCGTGGCTCAGTTGGTACTGTCTGACTTTGGCTCAGGTCATGTTCTCAGGGACCTGGGATCTGGCCCTGTGTTGGGTTCCCCACTCAGTGGGGAGTCTGCTTGTCCCTTTCCCTCTCCCCCTTCTCAAGCTCTCTCTCTCTCAAATAGAAGGAAAATGTCTTAAAAAAAAATTCCAGGAAAAGGGAAAAGGACATGCAAAGGCCCAGAAGCACAGGAGGCCATGGTGTGTTCATGAAGTGGAGAAAGACCTACTGCCCTGGAAGCCTGGGACTACAGGAAGAGGACAGCGGGAAGAGAGGTTGCAGAACTCTGGAACACCACGCTGAGAAGGGCCTTGGCTGGCATTCTTTCTTTCTTTTTCTTTCTTTCTCTCTTTCTTCCCTCCTTCCTTTTTAAAAGATTTATTTATTTTGAGAGAGAGAGAAAACATGCACAAATGCCAGGGGGAGGAGGGAGAGAGGGAGAGGGAGAGAAAGTGAAGCAGACTCCTAATCGAGCATGGAGCCTGAGGCAGGGCTGGATCTCATGACCCTGAGATCACAACCTGAGCCAAAACCAAGAGTTGTATGCTTAACTGACTGCACCACCCAGGTGCCCCTGGGCTTTCTGAATTTCATCCTGTGGGTATCTGTGGGCCTTGGGGACTTGGCTGGGGACCAGTCTGATCAGATGGGTTCTTTGAAACAGCACTGTGGGGTAGTGTTGGGAGAGGAGGTTGGTGTCAAGGATGCCTGGGAGGAAAGGCCTTCTTGCACAGCCCCAGCTCTTCCTGGATATCTGGGGCCATTTCCAACTTAGTGTACCCCCCTCCCCACTTTTCAAATGGGTCCTAGAATTAGACCCATATGTTTCGTAAATGTGGAAACTAAGGTACAAACGTAGCCCACGTTACCACAAATTTCGGGCTGTGATCCTTTAGCTTACTCATATTGGGCTTCCTAAACTATAGGTTGAAAAATGAACTCTTTCCTGGTACAAAGATATATGTATGAAGGAACCCATTGGAGAAAAGGCAATAGGAGTTGGGGCTGTGATTTACTCTGAATTCTCGAGGAACAGCAGTCTAGGACAGTGGGCAAGTTTGAAACAGTGCAGCCAGTCCTCTGAGGAGCAGAGGCACTGTGCAAAGGGGGAGCAGTAATTACAGGACTGTAGTAGGAGTTCCCGCTCCACACCCCCACGGTAGGTATTGGGCACCGTTACCTGTAATTCTCCCAATCTTGTGCTTTCCGCCGATGTAATTGCCAGCGAATCCTGAGACATGTGCGCCCAGGCTATACCCAATTAGATGAACATTGCTTCGAGAAAATTGGGCAGATTCCTGGAAGACAGAGGCAATGTGGTTCCAGGCAAGAGTTGCCAGATAGAAGCCTTGTGTGGGTCCAGCTTGTTCTGGGCACCCACCTTATTCTTTGTGCCGAGTGGCAAGTGAGGTGCTTAATTCATCCTCCTGACCCACACTGGTTCCATACTTTGCTAGCACCCACCTTTCCGGCTCATCACCCCTCCCGGTGATGCTGCCCCCTGCTTGCCTGCCATTTACTAGGATGTTAACACCCTGTGCAGTGATCCTGTTCATTTCTATGGGTTTGATGGTGTATGGGTGTGTTTAGATCCCTTAGCTCATCCAAGGGAGTGGGCATAAAAGAGATAGTGGATGGGGGAGGGGGAGGGAAGATAGTTCTGCAAAATAGGGGTTCAGGCAAGGCATTTGAGAGAGCCCCAATGTCCCATCCCCACCCCGTAGCCGCCCGCCCCCCCCATTCCTATGAGCTTAGCAGAATGGTTCTCCTGTCCGGGCTGCTTTGGAGATCAGCTTAATTCACTTAGTCTTAGGAGAAGGGAGAGGCAGGGAGGGAAGACGGGAGGGCGGGCCTTACCTCCAGCCACAGGATGAGAGCCGCCACCTCCTGGCCCACAAGGCGGGTGTTGCGGACTGCGACGGTGTAGTGGTGGTAGGCCAGGGTGAGCCAGTCAGCCAGCACCACGTTCACCGGCTGGGCCAGTCCAGACTTCAGTGCGGCGACCATCTGCCAAATCCAGCTTTCCAGGAGGCCGTCCACCTGCGGAGGGCCGGCAGAGTAGTCAGCTTAACTGGGAGGGGACAGAGGGGGTGCTGCACTAGTCTTTTCTTTCTCCCTGTTCACCCCTTTTTTCCTTTCTTAACTCTTGGCTAATTAATGCTGGATCCTTCTTTCCAAAAGAAAGGGCTTAATGTAGGGTTGCTCGACGTTGGCACTACTGACATTTTGGGCCAGATACTTTCTGTTGTGGGGACTGTCCTGTGCACTGTAGGACAGGTAGCAATATCTCTTGTCTCTACCAAGTAGGTGCCAGAAGCACTCTCCCCCCTCCAAGTTGTGAAAACCAAAAGTGTCTCCAGGCTTTGCCAAATGACCCCTGGGGGCTACCCCCTGGCCTCCAGCTGAGAACGATTTTCTTAACATGCTCCTATTTTAAGAGTTTCTGAGCCTTAAAATAATGGGAAAGTCTCTGCAACCAGGAGCTGAGAGCTGACCTATCCTCTAAGGGTCAGTTCAATTACCTCCCTGCCCGGGAGGCCTGCTCAGCCACAGTTCTGAATCCCAGCTCTGCTCCCACCCTGCATATGCTTGCTCGTGAGGGAATAAAGCACCATGAGCTGCAGCATGGCAGGAGATTCAATACGCATTCATAGACAATCTTTCTGTGTGTGCACCTTGTTTGAGAACCAAATTGCTGGGCACTCTTGATGAGTCCACGGAACAAAGCATTTGTGCTGTGTCTGCAGGATAAATAGGAGTTCACCTCTCAGGATAAGGGTGGGCTGGTGAATGTGGGGCAGGGTGTCTGGGGTGATCTAGGCAGAAGGAAGAGCACTGCAGAGGTGCAGAATCACGAGAGGGCCCTGTGGTATATCTGCAGGGAGAAGAATCTGGTGTGGTTGAAGACCAGAGGGGAGTGGGGGATGGAGGTGAGGGGGAGGAGAGGCTGGAGAACAATGCTGATGACGTGGGCAGTTCATTCTGGGGTCAAGTGCAAACGCTTATGAATATGCACCCAGGGCTTTCCATGTGGATAGAGCACCTTGGGTTCAAATCCTGACTCTCCTAGTTAGTTAGGAGTTTGGTTAACTTTCCTGTACACCACTTTCCCCATCTGGAAAGTGGGGCTAACAGTAGCGGCCTTTCTCCGGGACTGCTGTGAAGATGAGATCAGTTACTCACTGTGACCACTTAGAACAGACCTGGAACGCAGCAAGTTTTCCGTAAATGTGAGTTAAACAGAGTTACACAGACTTACGTTAGTGGGTTAGTGGTTACTGACACAGTGACGCAGCTCTTGCTGCTACTGTCACTTAGGGTGGTAGTTGTGTTCCCATCTGGATTTTAAGAATGAAGAGCTCATTCTGGGAAAGGACGCTCATTCTCTGCGCCTCTGCCCCCTTTCCTTGGCTACAGCTGTGGACATTACTCCCCCTCCTCCTCAGGGAGGCCAGTTGGACCTCCTTGTCCTGCCCTGCCCGCCCCAGCCTCCCCCCTCACCTGACACTGAGGTGGCCAGCCTCGTGGCCATCCCCTCCCCCTGCCCGTCCTATCTTCATGTTGCATTTGTGAACGAGGTATTTATGTAGACATTAATTCAGTTAACAAGTATTTTTGGAGCACCCCATATATCATGGATACTGTTCCACAGGAGAAGGAGAAGAACACTGTAGGCAGGAGACAAGGCAGGCAGCCTGAGCCAAGGCCAAGAGGAGAGGAAGGAGGCATAGGGGAGTGGGAGGAGCTACGGCAGGTGGGTGTTGCTGGAGTCTACACCACCTCCCCCCACCCGGGAGTGGGGGCTGAGGGGGAGGCCAGGAGAGGGAGGAGGAGACAGCAAGGGCGGAGGGAGGGAGGCAGGGAGGGTGGGGAGGAGGCTGGGAAAGGTAAGGGGGGCAGGAGGAGTGAGTGGAGGCAGAGTGAGGGGGGCAGGGTCAGAGGGGAAAGCACAGGGAAGAAGGGGGAAGAAGCTCCAGCTCTGCTGTGTGTAGAGCTTTTGACTTGGGGGGTCCAGCTTCTCACTGCGCCCCTGCCCAGATCTGTCCTCAGGCTGCATTTCCTCCTTCCCACCTTCTCTCTTTTCTTGTAAGGAAAGTCCCTTTGGCCAAAGCAGCTGAAGAAACCGGATACTCTTCTCTAGTGACTGGCCTCCTAATCCCTTTCCTCCCCCACGGTTCCCACGGTTCCCACGTTCCCACGGAAGAGCTTTTCTGTGGCTGATCTCTCATTTCCTTTCAAACAGGTTTCATCAGGTGAGGCCCAGACCCAGTTAGACCCCTCTGACAAAGGCCCAGGGAACTGGGAGTCCTTGAGACTGTGAGCTCAGAGCGTGAGGGTTCTGGGTTTGAATCTCTGTCCGTTCTTGGCTGTGTGACTGTGGTAGCTGCTCAGCCTTTCTGAGGGCGGTTTCTTCTTCCAAAAGATAGTAACCCACCTTGTTGGGAGGTGGGAGGATTCAATGAGTTGATGTATCATGTAAGGGGCCTAACTTGTAGTAGGGCCTCGATCTATGTGAGGTCCCTTCTAAAGGGCAGGAAAGCCCAGCACCACCTCGACTGCAGACCTTGGGGTGTGTGGAACTCCCACATCCCTAGGGAGGGCATCCTTTAATCCTAGGGGGAAGCTGCTAGCAGGCTATAGGTGCCTCTGCTTTCCCCCTAGCGATGGTAACCACCCCACCTCGTGGCTATACCCATGTGGCATCGCGTGGCTCCCCACTACCACGTGAGGCCAGGCACAGGGGCTGTATTGTTCATGGGAAGGCTCTGAGCCTGCACATAGCAAGCTTTCAGTGAATAAATGTGGAAAGAGTCGCAGGTGGGTAGACGGGCTCAATTGGCTTTCTACGGTAGGACAGATGAGGGTTTCAAGAATTTTTTTCAAGTAGATGGCAGGGAAAGGTTTCCAAGTCACGAAACAGATCCCCAAATCTCTGGAGGTTTCAAGTCGTGAACTAAGCTTCAAACTGTGGGTTGGGTGGAATCAGGGAGGCAGAAATTCCTCTTGGAGACAACTCCTTGCGTAGTTTGACTTCAACCATTGCCCACAACATTCTCTCTCCCCTTTGTCCGGGATTTTTAGCGTCCCTAAAAGACTACATTTTTCTCTAAGAGTCTACACGTCTCAGTCACCTTTTTACCTAGGTATGGCCAATGGATGTCAGTGAAAGCATTTCACAGATGCTTCTGGGCAGCTAACCTAAAAAATACCCCACACTTTTATACCAAAAGCCATTGAATTGTAGGCTTTAAATGGATGAATTTTATGGTATGTGAATTATATCTCAATAAAGCTGTTAAAAAAAAAAAACAAACCCAGCTCCTTAGACTCCTCCTTTACTAATAGCACTACCTGGAATAAAGATGTGATGACTGGTGCTCTGGCTCCCATCTTGGACTATAAGGACAAAGGCCTCACTCTAAGAATGGCAGAGTAGTAAGCTGGAAATGAACCGGGTCCCTGAGGACTTCATTGACCAAAGCCATTTATCCAATTTTCGATTACATATTTTTAGACTGTTGTGTGAAATGGAAACAAACTTCTGTTTTATTTGAACTACCGCTAGTTGGGTTTCTGGTATTCACAGCTGCATTTAAATCTTAGGGTCACAGCATTTCATTGGGAGACTGTGGTTTGGCTTCCCATCTGAAACAGGCAGATTCACCTTCCTGGACCGCAACCTCTTCTGGGTCCTCATGTGCTATGTGACCTCCTTGAGCCACATTTTATCATCTGAAATGTGGAGATAATTATACTTTCCCTATCCTGCTTATTCATGGAATTGAGATAATCAGTGAGATCCTGTGTGGGGAGGTACTCGGAAAATTAGAATGTACTTTACAAATACAGTGCATGAAGTTGTTATCACTGGCTCCCTATCTTTTTTTATTAAAATTGGACACGTGAGGGAGAAAAGCAGAAAATGTACATGCAGAGAGAAAAAAAGGCATGTCAGCATTTCCTACCGTCCACCCGTGGATTATCATCACCAGGGGCAGAGAGGAGTTGAAGCCACACTGCTGTAACGTGTCTGGGTGATTCAGATGAATCTGACAGCCCTTATCCCTTTCTTCTTCAAAAAGCAGGAATCTGGTCTTTGTCTCCTGGGATGCTTCCATTGTCTCAGCAGCTCTCAATCTTCTTCCAAATGGCTCTGGAATGAAAGATTGGGGACAGTACTTTACCCTGGCATCTGTTCCACCTCTGCTGGCTCTGGGACAGCCCAAAGGTTTCTAAGGGTACCAGCCAGTGGGGTTACTATGAGGTGCTGGAGGTAGGCATGAACCACAGCTTTTGGGGAACCCCACAGCAGAATGCCCATTTCTCCCTTGGGAGATGATGAAGGGTTCTCCCTACAAGAACCCAATAGAGAGGTAGAGGGGGCCAGGTCCTCCATCCTGCCATCCTGACTGTGGGATCAGCCAGCCAGATATTGGAGGACCTCTAGGACAATAGGGATACAGAAGAGGCAGATGAATGAGTATTTCACCCCAAATCACACTGTCAATAAGTTGTGGTGTCAGGATTTGAACCCAGCTCCCTCTGATTCCAATTGCCTGCATGCCTACATGCTGCAGAGACAGTGGATAGAGCACCTTAGTTAGATGACACTATGCATTTGCTCATGTAGTCCAGCCTGTTCTCACATGCAGACTCATTATACCGTGTAGCCTTGCACGGACCAGGTAGGGTTGGGGCGGAGAGAGGATCTCAGGAGTGGCCGATTCTGCTTGATGCAGGGAGGGATGTTCAGGGAGGACTCTTCAGGGAAAACGATGCTGATCTTGTCTGGAAGGATGGACAAGGGCTTGTGGGGCAGCGTGGATGGTAGGAGGGAGCAGGGGAACGGGAGAGTTTGGGCTCCCAGGGTGGCACTTTGTGGGCACAAGGAGGAGTGCGATAAGCCTGGGCAGCCGGGGTGTCTGGGGCCCTGGGAAGCTGGGGAGTCTGGACTTTATGCCCTGGATGATAAGGCTGCTGCTAAGGAGTTTTTCAGCAGAAAAGGATAATTTGAGTATCCATTCAGAATCTTTCAAAGACTGTGGAAGAATGGGGGTGGGGTGGGGAGAAAGATTGTTTTTAAGATTTTTACCTTCTGTTGTTTTTGCAAAATGCCTACTAGTCTTTCTTTTGGGGGAGCCCAATGCCAATCCTGAGACATTTTGGAGTGATGAGCAGTCGCACAGCTGCCACGCAAGTCCATGCTGTTGCCCGGACAGACCCCTCTGCTCGGGGGCAGGGGGAGGCCCAGAGAGGCACTGTGTTCTCAGGGCGGGGGCACCAAGGTGGGTGGCATCTTTTGTGCCAAGATTAGAGATCAGGCCAAGTGCTGGTGGAGGATGTCCTCATCCTCCCTTCTAGCCCAGGGTGGCTCTCTGGTGGCTGGGAGTGCACCAGCATTTTTCGTCAGTGAACTCAGTTGAACCTAATTACTAAGGATCCCGATCATTCATTCTGAGCTTATAGTCATTCAGACTTCTCAAACAATAGGTCTTGGGCTTTTGGTTTCAGGGGACAGCAGGATAGAGAGATGATGAACCCACAAAGTACGAGGGGAGGTATTAATGAAACCAATTTTCCTACCCAAAGGTTATTAATTTGAAAGGTTATTAATTTCCAGCAAAGGGCAATGATTTTTCACCATGATGACAGAATGAAACGCATCATATTTTATTAAAAGGAGATGTGAGTGAGAATCTGAATAACTGCTGTGATAATTAAGAAAATGTCTGCTGCCCCCCCCCCCCCCCCGTTTGGCTTTCCCAAGCTTATCCTCATCCCTGCTGGGGACTCCCAGCTCACGCTCCCCATTTTGCTGGCTGCACCACCCTCCTGGTCTTCTAAATGGAAGCTGGGGTGTCGCCTTGCGCTCCTACACCAGCTTTCCAATCAGTCTGAAGCTTTGAGTTCCCGAATATCCCTAGAAGCCAGTGGCCCAGCTCAGGTGCACATTGTTTCTTGATTGATTGTGACAGCTCCCTAACATCTCTCTCTGTGTCTCTCTCTTTCTTTTTGATCTTGACATCCTCCCTCATGCTGCAGCTCAAAGAATCTTCCTAGAACAGGAATAACTCTCATATCCATTAGTGATTTTGAGCTTTGTGGTATCGCAGCCAAGGCCACCACCCCGGTGACAATCCCTCATTCCTCAGCTCCTCCCCTCCTGCTACCCACTGCCAACGGTTCCCCCTACCTTTGCCCTCTCACTCCCCTCTCTGCCTCTGCTGCTTCATGGTGAGCCCTGGACCATCCATTAAAATGGAACTCACACATCACACCCTGGAGGAAGCCTTCTCATCTAGCCAGAGATCATTACTTCCTCCTGCTGTCAGCACTGTATTGGGTCCTTGCTTCGAATGTGCTTGTCATGGGCCTGGTAATTTATTTGTTGAGGTGTGTGCTGTTTTCTCCACCAGGCTGTGAGCTCGTGGAGGGCAGTGCTGGTAGGTGCTCAATAAATGCTTAGTGAATGATGCGTTCTGTGGCATCCAGCTCTGACATCAAAGGCTCAGATTTGATTTGTCAGTCATTCATGCACTGGCATTAACTAAACGTAACTAATTTTCTTTTATTTAGTGACAAAGAGCTACATCTTCCTTCGTTTTAGGATAACGGACTCAAATGCTAAGAAGGCTATATATGAAAACAATATGGGGATAGAAATAGTGCCTATCTTATGAAGTTGTTACAAAGATTAAGTAGGATATTTGTGAAGAGCTCAGAAAAATGCCTGACACATAATTAGCACCTATGTAAGGCTGTGTTGTTAAAATAAGTACGAATTGGAGCATGCGGCATCTTGCATTTTTGATCTGTGAAATTCTTTCTTTCTGTAAAAATTTATTCCAGTTGCCCTCCAGGACCAATTCTGTCTTATGTGTATTTACTCTGGATTTAGCTGGGAGAGTAAGCTCTGGCCCCGGAGCCTAGGGCCTCAAGGCTGTTCAGGAGAGTGCTCTGAAAAAGGAGTTGTCAGATAGAAAGGCCCATAAACAATTGAACAGAACTGGGCTCTCCCTCTTCTTCCTGGGAGCTTGGCTTTCTTATAGCACATAGAGGAGTGAGGAAATTACATATATATGTGTATATATTAATTTCTTTCCTCCACAAAAACTTACGAAGCATATATTATGCCTCAGGCCTTGGCTAGGTACTATCTGGAGGCACATAGGGCACGACCTCTATTTTTCAGGAGTCCCCAGTCCAGTGAGAGTGGTCAGTATGAGAATTGTGTGTGGTTGCTGTAAGTGCTGCAGTGGAGGGACATCCTGAATAAGGCCTGCCCCTATCAGTTGCCCCATCAGTTGAGTCTAGAAGGATGAAAGATTCCTGAGGAGCTCACATCTAGGACAAACTGTTGAAAAACGTGAGGCTCTGGTACCTAAAAAAAAAAAATAAGATTTAGTGGAGGACATGAGGCTCAAAGAGGCTGCTGTGGGGAAGAGGGCTGAGAATTCCCTTGTGCAATTCCAGGAGATAGAGACGGAATCAATGGGTGGGTGTGACACAGAAGAAAATTTTAGACTTAAAGACATTTGCAAAGATTCATAGTTGAACAGATTGGGACAAGGAGAAAGTAAGGGTAATAAAACAACAAAGAGAGAAATGCTAACAGATTTGTGCTCTAAAATTCATGTGATGTGATCATCTAATGTTGCTGAAGATGGGCCATAGCTTTTATTCTAGAGCTTCTTATTGGCCAAATCAGAGAGGGAAACAGGAGCAGTTATAGGATTCATGGTGTCCAGTTGCTCACACTTTGCTGGTCCTGAAGCCTGAGATGGTTTCCCTATGTGTTATTGTGAAAAGAGGCCACTGGGCGAAGCCTTGCCCAGTGGCCACTGTCTTGAAGATCATTCCTACAAAATATGTGGGTAGCAGGTTTTATGTGGTTGACCCTGAGAGTGCTCAGCCATCCTCAACAGAAGCTGCAACCACAGTGCCAAAAAGCATTTAAGTCACAGTGAATCTCTGTGAGGCTCTTCACTATAATCCAGCAGTAGTCTCTGTGACCGAGGGAGGCAGGGGCCAATTCAGGTAACATTTTGGGTTATAGGAAGGAGTAGAGCTCCAGAGCCCGAGGGTCTGAGCCTCCATGGGAGCCAAGTCTGACTGCCCTTTTACAGAACACAGAGAATGCTAGTGCATTCTCAGCTAAGCCATGGCATCAAGGACACACAGCTGTTGCCCATACCCACATGTATACCGAACTCTTTCCCAGGCTTAAGCCCTGCATGTAGCCAGCTCTTGACCGAGCACCTCTACCAGGGGATCTGTTCAGTACTGCCAACCCAGTGAGGCCCAACTGAATTTATTTTCCTTCCTTCCAACCCATTCTTCTTCCTTTCTCTCTACATTTCCTATTGTGGTGCAAAACACAATTATTTGTCCATTGTGTTGCTCAAGCTAGAAAGTTCAGAGCTGTTCTGGAATGTTCTCTTTGTCCCTTTGGTGACCCTCATGGGTCACCAAATACTGAGGACTCAGCCTCATGATTATCTTTTCTGTCCCCTGCCACTGGCCTAGTCTAGAACCTCATGTTACTTTTTTTTAATTTGTGGAATTGAAATAGCTTCTTAACTGTTTTATATTTTATTTGTAGAATTAATGCACACTTGATGTCTATGTATATATACATATAATTTGAAAACTGCTGAAAATGAAGAAAGAATCTCACTACTGGGACAAAAACACAAGTAATATTTGGAGTAGTTCCTTCTAATCTTTTATTATGGAGTTCCATAGATATTTATTTTGGAGTGCCCAAAATTGAAATCATATTATGCAAATGGTTTCATATCCCTCTTTACCTGTCAAGATAATTTTCTTAATAGCGCTACAAATTCTTCAAAATCATGCTTCTGAAAAGTGGCATCGTTTGTTTACTTATTCCATTATTGTTGGACATTCAGGTAGTTTCAAGTTTCTTTTTTTTTTTCTATTAGAAACAACACCCTGATGACCATCTTTATACATAAATCTTTGTCTGGAAAAATCTATGAGTATTGTCTTAGTATAGATTTTCGAAAGTAGAATTGTTAGCTCCTTAGGTGTGATCTTGTGGATATCTCTTTATGTATGCGTATATATCCAAATTGATTTTCTGCACTTTTTAAGCTAATATTTATTGAGCATTTTCTCTGTGCCAGGCAC